TCAGTGTGATACACTCCGCTTCGCGTCGGGTCCTGATCACACTGTCGGGGCTTATTTCTGCGATAACTACCGGCTGCCCGTACATTATCCCTTACGTATAATACAGGGATTATCAGTAGAAGAGGAATCGTGCACTCAACTCTTGACCGCTGACCGTGCCGAACAACATGTCCCTGTTCGAGAAAGATCCACCGCAAACTAAAAATTCCATTTTAACCTTAATCTTCCTCTTCACGTACGATTATTTGTCAGTCATTCCTGTAACATCAGCCCTCCTTTCCCCATCCACCCCCTGCATGCCCCGCCCCTCCAAAAAAAAAACTTCTGTCACGCCTGAGTCAGTACGCTTTTCCTTACTTTTGGCTTGAGTGTTTCCCTCTCTTTCCGGGTCACCAGTCATCTAACAAGTGTGATCACTGTACGGACTCCGAAAGCGCACGTAGAGCCGCTTCCCGCAGCTTCCCGCAGCTTCCCGGCGGACACACGCACTTCAACGCCGGGGGAAAAGTGCCGCTTCTCTCAGGGTGTTGCTCAGAGCCGGCTTTTGTTTTTGACTTGATGTGAACGGAAGAAAAACAAGGTAAGTTTTACCTCCACTTTATTCTGTCACAACCTTTTAGGTTTCTGCGTTCAGAATTTAGTTTAATGGACCGCATGTTATATATATATATATATATATATATATATATATATATATATATATATATATATATATATATATAAACATAATCGATCTAACAAATAAGTGACGGTTGTTGACAAAACTTTATTGTCCGAAACATGTGTTTTTACATGAGGGAGGCGTGTTATAAACGAACTAGATGGTACAATTTTACTGATGTCGTCCAAAGTTCTCTAGGTTTCTTTTTCTTTAATGGTGATTTCTTTTTAGCGATTCGGCGTATCAGTGCAAAGTCCTTATATCCGATTTCAGATTCATGTAGTCCGCTTGAAAGGTTCTTAGGCTGACAATTTGTATTTTTGTAATATCGATTTACCTAGAAAAGAAAGACAATAATAGTGGTGTAGCAGTAATCGTAATGGTTTTTTTTAGCCTTTTAAAATGAATTTCTCCTTTACATTTAATTACGTGTTGTGCTAATGACTCTCTTCCAAAGAGTAATTAATTAACATACATGACTGCGCTTTAGAAAACAGTCAAAAATGCAATCATCCGGCAGTTAACTGTCTATCTGACAAAGAAGCAGGGAGATGATGCGATTAGTAAATTAGTACTTTGTGTCTGATCTCCTCTCTGCGAGGACATTTGTTTTTACCCCAAGGTTTAAATGAATTTGCATCTTTAAAGACTGCAGCAATTAGAAAAGGGCATGATGTAACTTTGGAAGACGGCCTGGATGGAGACGTGCCCTGAGAGCACTTAATGACGCCCCTGCAGCTGAGAGTGGCCGGTGTGGGAGCCGCAGGAGGGTAGAGCCGGCCAACTGTCTTGGGAACTGGCACTGCTCTGGAGCAAACGCTCCACCCCCCTCACCGCTCGTTTGACAGGGGCTTACCAGAGCTGCATGTTCAGCTGCAATAGACCCAAACCCCCTAAATACAACCTTCTGACTGCGATTCTTTGACATGCTAAAAAAAAAAACAAAATGCTCATGAGGCTTGAATTGATGGCTAGGTATAAATCTCATTTTCATAAAAGGATAGGTGGGGGGGGAGAAGAGTAGTGGTGACCCTTGGTTGTGCTGATGTATCAAAACATACCAAACATACCACAAGTGTTGGAGGAGCCCTCGGAGATACGCTACAGCCAAGACACTTTTGTGGAGCCACTTTGGATCCTGTGACTCATTCAGCAGATGGCGTTTCTGCGTTCCGCGTGCTGAAGGAATTCTGACCGTTCCATGTGGTCCACTTATGTGCATGAGAAGAGTTCGCATCCGGAAATGGAGCAATTCTGCCTCGTCTGTGGTCCGCAGATAAACCCATCTGTTCTGGGTCACGTATAACTCTGATTATGGCCTTTGTATCTGGAGCTGATTTATATGTCTGTTTCAGACACTGACTTTGCTTACGGATCTACACGGTGCGCCGAAAGGAGAGCGGCTGTGGTTGAACTCGCGCTCGAACGAGTCCAGGGTCAAAGGTGCCTGTAGAGCAGGAGCTCATTTTAAAATGCCGAGACATGTTTTTTTTGTTTTTTGAGAAATCAGGGTCAGTCCGTCACTGGAGCAATTAGGAGCCTTCCTCAAGGGTACAACAGTGAAATCAATCTGGTGACCCTTGGATTTGAGTCAGTGACTTTCTGATCACAGACGCAGCATCCCAATCTGTTGGGCTACACACTAAATGGCTTATTGTGGGTGATGTGATGTTAACTGACTGAGGTGATACTGAGGACACAGAGAGACAATGGCCACACCGTTGTATGTTGCTGGCATGCAATTAATAATTTTTTTTAGGCCCGCACAAAATATTTTCTTGAGGAGGAAGAGGTAACAGCACACATACATACACCCCCCCCCCCAACCACAAACATCTTCCATCATTTCTGCCCCCCGCCCCCAAGGCCTTGGTCTGAAATAGTTTCTCTTCCTGTTTTCACCCTTTCCAGAGGTGGGGGTAGAGTCTGCTGTATGAACATACATACAGAATCTTACATGCCTTCACAAGTCACTGGTTTTGTTCCCAAAGTCTTGCATGCATTTCATT